TATATATACATATATATATATATATACAGGGTGTCTCAGTTAAACGTTTCAGAACTCCTAAGAGGGGTAGGGTACATCCTGACGACTCAAAATCATATAGCAATGCGGAGTCGGAAATGCTTTCCTGAAGCGGTGATGTACACAGAAGCACCATAAAGAAAAGAGACCGTAAGTGAAAAATCGTTTTAATAATAAATTGAAAAAATTATATGGTACATGGGTCAAAGTAAGTGTTCGAAGTTTCTGCCACCGGCTACAATGTACACCTCACATCTCCGGCTCATGGACTTTCGAACATTCTGCAATACTCCAAGCAGATCTCGAATTTTTCCGGCAGCTGCTGCGATTCCTGCAACCAGCTTTTCAGCATTGTCAGCAAGGGTGTCATAAACCTTCATATGACGCCAGAAATCAAGACATGATAGGTCGGGTGACCGAGGAGATCATATAATTTTTTCAATGTATTATTAAAACGATTTTTCACTTACGGTCTCTTTTCTTTATGGTGCTTCTGTGTACGTCACCGCTTCAGGAAAGCATTTCCGACCCCGCATTGCTATATGATTTCGAGTCGTCAGGATGCACCCTACTCCTCTTAGGAGTTCTGAAACGTTTAACTGAGACACCCTGTATAAACCTCCGTTAAGCGGACATTCTTGGGAACGAAAAAATTTTTCGTTTATGAAAGTTGTCCGCTTACCGGAAGGGTATCCTAATAACGAAGTTTAACACTGCTAATTGTTTTTAAAATATTTTCAAAGATGTAGAAAGAATTAAATAATTTACAATAACTATCTACAAGGATATTTATTTGGACTTCAAGAAAGATAATAAAGAATCTATAAAGAAGTTTGATATAAATACATAATTCTAGATGTAGCTACAGATAAATGAATATAATTTTCCTATTATTATAGATACTCAAGTCAGACATATGATACCGAATAGTAGCTTTCAGTCCGCAGTCGGTTTCAATTATTAGTTATTAGGTTTACATCTCCTTACACCTTCCTATCATTTGATAGGGAACATGGTTAATACCTTCTTGAAAGTAAACCTCCCACGATTCACAGTTAAATCATGAGGACCTACGGAGTTGATTATTCACAATTTATTAGCTATCAAGCGTCTGTATAAGTGTCTCATTTATATGAACACAGCAGAGATAAAATTTCTCTTCTCTTTCTTACCCCAGTTGTGTTAAATACAGTCTTCAAATCAATAAAAAAAAAATTAAAGAAATTTTCGATGGTGAAGAAGCATTGAGAGCATTTAAGATGTCATTTCAACTTGAGGGGTCTCCTGTGTGGCCCAGATGAAAAGATCAAAAGTTGCCGCTGTCCGAATTATTTCACGAGAACAGTACCATTTTCTTTCCTTTCTTTACACCGATAAGGCAAGGCGACAGGAGAAAAATTTATTCTTCAGTAGTGAAATAGCTTAACAATAACTTCAGTTATGGATAAGGCTCAAAAATTCACATGTTTTAAAAATGGCGAAAAGTTGCTTTTGTTCCCTCCCAATTTGAAGCAAAATTCTTTTCGTTTTCAAATTTAGAAAAAGCAGTGTCTGGTTTGAAGAGATAAAAAATTACGTTTCAGTGCCAAAATGACTGTCCGTGTCCGGTAACGGGAGTGTCCGCTTTGCGGGGAATGTACATAATGATTTATTCAAAGAAGATTCCCGGGGAATTAAAAAAGTGTCCGCATTGAGAGGCGTCCGCTTTGTAGAAGTGTCTATAATAGGAGGTTTGATTGTATATATATACGTTGCGGTGAATGACCGAAGTCTCGAAAATGTCGACATTCACCGGTGAATGTCAACATTCACATAGTCGCTTTGGTGAATATCCGAAATATTTATTACATTCGATTTGATATGAATTTATTCGTGGATTTAATTACTTTTATTCGATATTTTAATACTTACTGACGATAGATCAGAAAAAACATCAGTGTTTGGAGTATCGGGCAATATATTTACATTTGCCCGGTATACATTTGCTCGGTATACCCTACACTGATGTTTTTTTAAGGTTAAGTGCCACTGCCCGGTGTACACCAAGTATCGGGCAAACATATACCGGGCAATGGCACTTGACCTTGAAAACACATCAGTGTAGGGTATACCGGACAAATGTATACCGGGCAGCGGCACTTAACCTTAAAAAAACATCAGTGTAGGGTATACCGGACAAATGTATACCAGGCAGTGGCACTTCACCTTAAAAAAACATCAGTGTAGGGTATACCGGACAAATGTATACTGCGCAGTGGCACTTAACCTTAAGTGGCTCGGAATACCCTAGACTGATGTTTTTTTAAGGTTAAGTGCCATTGCCCTGTATACATTTGCCCAGTATACCCTACACTGATGTTTTTTNCCTGATCAAACTATGGGGATCATATTTCCCAGATTGCGGCTACCCTCTATATTTTGAAAGTTAAGAATCCAAATATGTAAAAAAATATATATGTTTATTCAGAGAAAGTACGTTTTTGTGTCTGATTTCGTAACTTAATTAATAGTTAGCACTAATTAATTAGCATATTTGAGGTCATCCTCGGGAACCATTAAGATTGACACTTAGTTCGTGAAAATCCGATCATTAGAACGAAAGTTATTCAGGGTGATTCGTTTTTTTTTTTGCGGACTGTACACCGGTGAGGGACCGATGTAATGAAATATTCGATCTTTCATCTACGTATTTGGTGTTTGTCGACATTCACCGGTGNTATCAAATCGAATGTAATAAATATTTCGGGCATTCACCAAAGCATATCTGTGATTGTCGACGTACACCGGTGAGGGACCGAATGTAATGAAATATTCGATCTTTCATCTACGTATTTGGTGTTTGTCGACATTCACCGGTGAAAGTCAACAACCACCTATTTCGGTCATTCGCCGTAACATATCTATATATATACATATGTGTGTGTGTGTGTTTGGGAACAAATCTTTCAAAATTTTAATAATTGTCGCTTTCTTACTGAATCATATAAAGGGGCGCCTTTATTTTCCACTTTTTCAAAAAGTTTGTTGAGTGCAGAATGGTATCATGAAAACTAAAATTAAAAACTTAACTTGAAAACCAAGATTGCCTCTGAAGTCAGTTAGGTTGTACAGCGTAAAAAAGAAAAACGATGCAACTTAAATTAATGCTGACAGGAAAGCATCTTGAACACTTGTTCCGAAGGCAATAGCGTGTTTGTCGAGTTGCAAAGTGGTGGTGGTGTGTTCAAGAAGGTGTACCAGCTGGCTACAAAATGCTGTTACTTTTAAATATTACTTCTTTTTAACCCTTTCATAATAGTTCTTGAACACCCAACCCAATTTTGGGTCTACGGCAACTAATGTTCTACTCAGTAGCCTTGCAATTTTGAACCCTATCCGGAAGACGAGGGAACTCCTGGGTCAAGTATTTGGGAGAAATTTACTTTCGTGGAGGACTTTTTGATGGAACTAATCCGCTTTTGCGTTACGTGGAGAGGAAAATCCCGAAAACCTCCCACGGTTAGCTTGTCGGCAAGGGGACTCTAACCCGTGATCTGTCTACCACTGAGGATATTTTACGTCAGCACTGTAGTCGGTGCGAGCCGATTGCGGAAGTCGTATCGACCAGCCATCGCTGTGATTCGAACCCGTTTCATCTCATTGGAAGGCGAACACCCTACCCCCTAAGCCACCGCGACTCTTTTTTAACCCTCTGCAAGACCGTGAGAAGTATACTTCCTCCCAACTACATAATTTTTTTCACAGATGATTTGTGCCGTCATGTTCTAAAATCGGCAGGGTCAAGAAGTGAGGTCAACACTTAGGAGTTATTTTTTCTTGAACAATAAGCGTTCGACCATTTAATCATTTCTCATCGAGTGTATTTGTAGTTTTGTATAAACACAGCACAAACATTATAAGCACAGAATTCTGTTTGGGTCACAGAATTATAAGGGCAGAAGATCCACTTTATGAAAAATTCCTTACAGTTGATAAAATTTTATAAATCCCAAAAATAATATAAATGTTGGTATTAATTTACTTCAGAAAAATTAAGACTTTAATATATTCTGTAATAAGCATCGGTTTTCAATTACATAACTTAAGAAGGTTCTCGTTTTTTTTAAGGTTTTATACATAACTGAACTAGAAACATTAATTGCAGAAACATTCATTTAAGAATTAATTTCAGAAAAAGTGAAAACTCCCTGACAAAATTTTATTCAAGCTTACAATTCTAATGTGGGACTAAAACCGTAAGAGTGAAATAAAATTTTGCTATTTTTTATTTAAGAAAAAATAATAAAAAAAGCGTAATCAATCAAGCAAAATTGTACAAAGTATGGTTACCAAATGAAAAGTTTTTTTTTTTTTTTTGAAAAACGTTCATATAATTTTTTTCATCATTTATTTTTCTTTAATGAGAAACTGAGATATTCTAGAAATAAGAAATCATCCTATGAAAGGAAAAATTGTCGGAAAAAGCAAATCAATTTTAATAAAAAGCTAAATTATTTTCTTTTAGAAATAAATCTCAATTCTAAAATTATTTCAACAAAACATTACTGGAAAAAAAATTACCCTATAAAGGATTGAAAAAAAATCATGAATTTAGTGTAACTTCGATGAAAATCATCGATAGTGCATATTTTTATGAGTCTATAAACTCTTCAAATAATAGAACACAAACGCTAAAAAACTGTGGAACTTCCTCATATATAAAGTTTTTCTCCATTTTCAAAATTAATGTAACAGGCGCTAACTAGAGGTCAATACGATGTCATTTCTGATTCAAAGAATAAATAAATAAAAATATTGAAGTCTTCAATAACTTAAGTCTAAACAGAAAATAGATTTCCAAATATCTTTATTTCATTATATAAAAGTAATAAAACCAAACATTAATTGATTCAATTGTTCACTGATGTAACTTTCGAATCTTCCATGGTGGATGTGATTTCTTTTTCACTAATCTTTTGTTCTTAGCTATAAAGTTCTTTTTAGATTTAACAATTCTTATTGGTTTTGCACCATAAACCAATTTTTCTTCTTGATTTAACATTTCAGGTGTTTTGATAACTTTCCACGGAGAAGCTTGCTCAAGTCTTTTCACTCTGACTGGTATTTTCGATATCCTTGGAATTTTATGTGGGTTTACAATCCAACTAGGAGTGGGTGTTATACTTTTGGGAGAAGTTCGGAAAATAGTAAGTGTATCAGCAAATCGGACACATTTTTTAATCGGTGGTTCATTTTGTTCTAAAGCAATCATATCTTTAAAAGGTTTCACCTCTGTTCCAAAACTTCCTAAATATGGTAATGACATTTCAGATTCTTTTGATGGTCGCCTAATAGAGGAACGATCCATAAAATCTTCCGTTAATAAGACGTCACATAAGTAGCTTGTAAAACTAGGAGGAAATTTTGATTTGATTTTTGGATGATCTAAATGACGAAGGCACAATCCATCTGGAGATATATAAAGTACAGGTGTATTTAAACTCAAAGGTGGTAGAAAGTCTTTTCGCTTATTTTTTTTACTTTCTTGCCTAGTCACTGGTATGGCAGAATGCTGCTCTCGTACAGCGTTATTATTACAACAGTTAATCAATGCTCTAAGTTTATGTCTTATATCTTTACGCATTTTAAACACCAATAAGACAAAGAAACACGAATAAATGTAACGGAACCACGTAAAAATCGTCTCATATTTAGGTGTAACTATTATTGTATTACTTAGATCTTCGTATGTTTTTAATGCACTTATTTGATGAATGACAATGTAAGGGAGTTCTAATAGTAAGTAAAAAAGAGCAAGCCAAGCTACGAGTTTAAAGTTGACCCATTCTGTCCACAAATCACCTTGTATGAATATATTTGAGAAGTTTATTACATGTTTATTTTTTTGGAGCTTATACTCTTTGTATTGTCGAAACCCAAGGTTAAGCAAACATCCAGCTCCCAAAACTATCATAAGACAGTAACACCAAATCGTAAGAAATATAGCATGGACGAAACCATCCTTTCCTAGAAAAAAAAATACAATCTCATGTTAATTATTAAAAATAAAACGGAATCAGCACTTGTTCACTCCTACTTTAATCGCCAAGAGGTTTCTGTACAGTAGGCTCTCAACAATACAATACTATAATTTGACGGAATGGATGGCCGGATAGGAAAAAATTCCTACCCACTTTTCCTTATAATTAAGTATATAAATTACACAGTTTAAGATGAATCCAAATATACTCAAAATTTATTTCTAAACTATTGTTAGTTCACCAGGAGTTGGCACTTGACTCCGCCTCCATCACGTGGTATCCGACGATACTATTTCGCTATTTTTGGGAGAAGGATGAGACAACGTTGCTATTTGGCTATCGTATGACAAAAATATTCATTTCGCAATCTTTAAGTGCATTTTTTACCGTTAAATATTTCATAAATTTGATGATATTTCTTTCTTTTGAGAGGATAGTTTGTTCTTTTTGAACTTCCAGACACTGGGAAAACAGCAGTTTTTAAATTTAAACTATATTTAATTACCTATAACAAAATGTATCATAGTAGATGATCAAAGTAAGTGACTGAAAAAAAAATTAAGGGTTGTCTCATTTTCAAGCGCGGAGATGTTTCTCCTCTTACTCCCGTGCTGAAATAAGCTCAGTGTTCGAAGAGGTGGAGCCAAGTGCCAACTCTTGGTGAACGAACTATACACAAATCGAAAATTTTTAGACTAGGAAGAATTAAATTGTACAGAGATGACTGCTTTAGCATTCCTCGTTTTTACCTTCTCAAGACGATTTTTATAAGTGGCCTAATTTTTACAAGATCTGATAGTCACTACCGGATAATTGGGATCCTACTGTACTTGCAAAAAATAACAATATAAAGAAGGATTTGCTTAAAATGTGACGACGAATTTTCTAAAAACATTAAATATTTGATTCACTACGTATAAAAATAAAAGGTAAAAATATTTCCTCTCTGTTACTACTGGTGAAAAAAGCTCTTATTAAGGACTTGAAAGACTATTTTATAATTCAATCCAATATTAAAAAAACTGTTACATAACTTACACTCTAGTCAAAGTTAGATGTTATTGCATTGCAAATATCTACCTAAATTTCATTCAATATCTTAAAATGTAATGAAATACTAAATCAACAAACTAATGCTGAAAGAAATCTTTGTCTATATAACACTAAGCTTTAAAAGAAAAATTATGTTAAATTTGTTTCTTATTTTTGTAGTTTAAATTTAATCATAAAAATTATCAGTATTACAATTGTAACAGAGGGAAAGTTAATAAAACATATTTGCCTTGATTCTTACCTTGTTAAAGCTTTATTTTCTTAGAATGCAGAAAATATGAAAATTTTTTAAATGGCTACCTTATCTAAAAATAGTACATCCAGGGAGCCATAAGACCCACTTTTGCCAACTCAAGAAACTAAATTAATACAATTATTACCGTAACAGAGTGGAAAAAATTCTGGAACAACATTAAACTGCTTGATTTTTACTCAAAAATTTTAAAACTATATATAAAATAAACTGAGTTATATATTACGTTTAACACAGCTAGATAAACTGAAATTATTTTCAATTAACAGTTGGTAGCTAAATAAGAGGCAAAAAAGGGTGAGACATAACAATTTAGATGCATCTGACACATTGAGACGACATTACAAAGGCGTTATTTTTAAAATACTAATTTCTATGTATCTAAATTTATTAAAAAACTATCCCAAATTAATTTAAATGATTAAATATATTATTTGAAATTTTATTTCAGTAATTAAAATTACTTTATCTTGTAAATGGAAAATTTAATATGGGACATCAAATGTACAAGTTTTTTTTAAACGACCTATATATTATACAATAGTTAAAAAGACCCTTTCAGTTTATGTCATTTTTTTTAATTTCTCAAGAAGTACCTAGAGTATTATTTTATAACTTATTTCATTTTAAAACTCTAATTGTGAAACTGTTCGAAAAAAAACTGCAAAGGCCATTCTGAGGATCTGCGAGCGAAGCGAGAAAAGTCTAATATTAATATTCTTAATTCTTAGACAAATTTTAATTTTTTTTGCTTCTTATTCGTGTCAAAACTGGAATAATTTCTAATCAACCTTTCAATAGAAAGGCAAATGGGGGGAATAATCATAATAATTATGCTTTTTATGACAGTCGATGAAGTGACATTCCTTATATATGTAAAGAAAACGTTAAAAAAAATTAAATTCATTTTCATTATATATATATATATTATTTTATATAATTTTTTTTATCAATTATTGATTTAAATCAGCAAATGATTCATATCTGGATTCGAATCTGTAAGTAATATTGCAATCAGTAAGTGATATCGCAATCAGTAAATGATTCGACTCAATAATGATTCGACTAAGTGATTCGAAACACATAAGTGAACTGATTCTATTGATTTCAATCACTTTGATGATTCATTTTATCCAACTCTATTTTACACCAAGTACTCTAAAAGAGGTGTTCCACTACACCAGGAGCTATTCTTGGTTTTGGTGTATTGGAACACTTAGAGAAACACCACTTTAGTATAAAGTAGTTACCACCATTATTGGTGTTTAGATACACGTATATCTTAGAATCCTTATATGCAGTGTAGAATCAAAAAGGGAAGTGAAAAAAATATACAAATTAAGGTTCGCAAATCAGTACTTAAGAGAGAAAGTAAAATATTCTTTTGAAACAGTAAAAACTGTGGTGTAATAACTATCCGAATTTGGTGTCTTTGGCATATAGTTATCATAACTTTTGGCTTTAACATGATATAAAGTGTTCGTTCACACTGCATTTTGCGTTTAAATAACACATAGCTCAGAGGAATATTACACCACACTTGTTAAATATTTTAATGCTTCTTTTAACACTAAAATGGTGCAATGAAACACCATGGATAATTCTTGATTCTTGATGTTTCACTACATCCTTGAATTCATATTAATAGTCGTTCTGTGGTAACTTGATTTACAACTCATTTTATTCTTACTCATTTTATTTGATATTAAGAACTGACCTCTAGGGATTTGATATTAAGAACTGACCTCGTGTAGTCAAGTACCAAGAATGTTTTTTTACGCTACATAGAGTAAAGTATCAGCTACCATTTTTTTGTTATTCAGTTATATTATAATAACAGTAAGATATGATACACACTACACATTGCAGTTATTTTTACAATACAATTTAAAGGGAGAACTTTTGGGGATGCATACACATACTATTTCTTAAAATAAAATGAGTTTGTAAATCAAAATACCACAGAGAGAATATAAATTCAAACTTGGCTTAACAGAATAGAAATTATACAATTTGAAAACATTTATGAGAGTTCACAGAGATTTAAAAATTAAAATATGATTATTATTATTACGCAACTAGAAACATACATACATATTTCAAAGGGGGAGTTTTGTTTATGTTCTTTTTTATATATAACCGTCGTTGAACAGCCGACACAATTTTTGTGTTTACGACAACTAATGTTCAACTCCGTAGCCTTGTAATTTTGTACCCAATCTAGAAGACAATGGAACTCCGGGACAAAGTATTGGGAGAAATTTTCCTTAGTGGAGGACTTTTTTTTGATGGAGCAAACCCACATTTGCTTCACATGGAGAGGAAAACCCCGAAAACCTCCCATGATTAGCCTGGTGGCAAGGGGACTCTAACCCATAATCACCCATTACCACTGAGGATATTTTATGTCAGCACTGTGGTCGGTGCAAGCCGTATGAGGAATTCGTATCGACAGTAACCTTTCGCTGTTACGACTGGTGGGTCAAAAATTACCTCTCTGAGATTTAAAATTTTTATATTCAGTAAGCATATCATTTTATGATTGTTAGTTACATAAAAATATTGTATTATGTATTTTAAATTATTTAGTATTTACATTATTTTAAATCAGCATTACATGAAATTCTATTGCTTGCCTCGATTGTTTCGAAAAATATGAACAATTTAAAAAATTTTAACAGATGGAATTGAAAGAAATTCTTAGTAACAAAAAGCGCAAAAAATTTTGTGTTTATTTCAAAATAAAATAGATATTAACTTAGGACAATGCTTTCACAAGGTTCCAACATCATTCACGTGTTATTAAAATAAGAAAAATAGTTCTTCATTTCTGTATTTCGGAGGGCACTACAATACCATAGAATCGAATTAAGTTCACCTGTTACAGAGTACAACTTAGTCACTTTAGAGAGCTCAATCCTCGAATTTCATTGATTGTCTTCAACAGTTTAAGGATAGAAAATATTCCGAAATTTTATAATGCATCCTCGAAATTCCTCCAAAATAATTTTTTTATACGCAGCCAGCTATCAAAAAAAAAATCTAAAGTTCTTTTTTCTTTTCTTTCTGAGAAGAAGATAGTTTTGTTTGACAGAGAATACAAACGTAAAGCAAAAATAAAAGGACCATGCTTGAAGATGAAAACGCCATACTCGTGTTAAAATAATTTCTGAAAAAATAAACGAATTTTAATAATCGTATACTAATTTATTTTACATAAGTTCAAATTATATTTCAAAGCTACGCAGTAAGGAAATCAAGTTTTAGGAAGTTCTGCACCCGATATTAGTTTTGAGAAAAAAAAATCCTTGTTGCACAGATTAATTATTTCCATAAATATATCATATCGCAAAATGTTTCGAGAACGCTCCGCTAATTTTTCTTGAACATGGTTTATATATCTCTTACCTTAGAGTAAACCTCTGTCGCAAGCACTAAATACCCTAGTTTAATGTTTTAAAATACTGTAAAGGGTCTAATAACATGCCTATGAAACGATTGAATAAAAGTTTTTGATACAAAACGACTTTGGATGGATTAGCTAATATTTTAAAAAAATACATAATTATTGGTTTTCGCTTGCAACTAGTTTGTTGTGTGGTCTGAAAACTCACTTTTTTGAGTGATAGTGTGACTTTATGAATAACTGTACTGATATATAAGTCGTAAGATAATTGAAAAATCCCGTTTTATTGCAAATTTCGCCTTTAATTTGCAATGTACCAAGCAATTTCAAAAAGTCTTCAATATTCTCCGAATTGTCTGATATTTTTGTGCTTATTTCTATCAGCTAAAATATTTATAGACAAATTAGGGAATGAGAAAAGATTTATTCTACTAACTTTTAAGAAAAAAGATGCACTGGTATTTAAATCACAGGCTATATGAAAAATCTTTCTTTTTGAAAATGTCGCGGTCATTTTTGCAATGCACCAAGATAATTGGAAAAGTCATCTATATTCTCTAATCTGTCTTATACTTTTTGAGCTATTTTCAACCAACCAATATATCTTTACTGTAATTAAGAAATGTGAGATGAATTACTGAATTAGCTCTTTAAAAAAAGATGTACTAGTATTTAAATCGCAATTATAATTATTTACCTGCAGATGCACAGCTATATCTTGAAGGAAACATTCGGCTCGATTTCAAAAACAATGGAATACACAATAAAATTCCAGCCACCCACAATATTACTATAGCAACAATTTGTTTTTTCATTGTTAAATAACTTTGAAACCTAAAAGGTTGCCAAACTGACACCATTCCTTCCGCGCACATAATACACAACAAAAATGTCACCTCCAAAGTCACAAATTGGACAAGAAATGAACTTATTGAACATCCAACAGTACCCAATTTCCATGTATCCGTTGTAGCATATAACAGAGCAAATGACATATTTAAAAGCGTTTCGATTAAAAACATCACCGATAAGTTTGCCAATAGAACATTAAATGGAACTCTTCGAAGTGTATAGCTGGATGTGATAGTTACTAATAAGAATATATTTGTTCCAAAAGACACAAGAATCACAATCACCAAGAAAACAATTTCGGCAATTTGAAGATCACTTTGCGTTCCATCTTTATAGGTGTTGTTGTAAAATATCACAATAGTTACTTGAACACTTTTAGTATCATTATTTATATCTTCCGTCATTTTTCAAAGGCAGTTTGTGTTCGAATACCAAAAATTTTGGAGACGCCTCTTGATAATCGATTCAGTCTAGCGTGATCAAAATGTTGATAAGCTTGCGTGCAAACAAAAACATTCGTGAACGATTTGTTTATAAGTTAAACAGTCAATAACTTTGACGTATTTCTCTCATTTCAGTTATTAAAAAGAAATGGATAAGCGCATACACTTTTTACAAATCATGAAGCACTCAACACTAATTTTAAAGTACAAATAATTAAAGTGCACAGCATTAAAAAAAGGGCCCTATAACATTCCAGCTATCATATGAAAAATACAGTGAATGTTCCAAACTGAATTCAGGACGTGTCCAAGCAGGGGATTTTTAGTTTAAGGGTCTATAAGGCTTTCCCAATCAGAATTTTTTCGAGAAAAAAAATATACACGTTACGATTTGTTTTATTCCGAGAAATTTAACACACACCAGGTATATTGAAAAATCTTCCAAAATTACAGCAGAAATACTGAAACCCACTCTCTGGAAACAGAAAATAACACAACTATTTTCTGAATTATAATCGTCGGAGCTCTCAAAAAAGAATCCCAAATATATGTACATTCATTATAATTTTCAAATACATATCAGATTTTTACTGCTACGCTGCAACTGCTTCACAGAAATATTTGCAACATATCCGTTGTTCTTGGATCCGGTATTCTCGATGACATCAAAACTGAAGAGGCTCGAACATTTGTGTCATAAAGGAAGATGTGTTTCTTCAAATTGTAAAAAAATGCCATCATTCTATCTAACTTCCATTCTTTCCATATACGAGGGTTGCTATTTATATTTCTGGCCTAATAATGAAAAAACAAATATGTAGGATCGAAATTGGTTTTATTGTTTTTTAAAATATTCTCCATGATGATCAATACACTTTTGCATGCGTTTGAACCAATTTTCAAAGCACTTTTTCTAGTCCGATTGAGGTAACTCCAAAACATGCGTTTTGAATGCATCAACCGCTTCTTCGGGGGTCGAAAATCGTTGTCCACGTAATTTATTTTTGATGTGTGGGAATAAGAAGAAGTCATTGGGTGCCAAATCAGGGCTGTACGGCGGATGACCCATCAGTTCGATCTTTCGCTC